TCTATCATAGTGATATGAATTTAGTATTGACATAAAAATGTTACCAAACACTACACTACTTATTTCAGAAATTCATTCTGCACTGGACAGTTAAAAAGCAGAAAATCAGAATTTTAGGTATGATTTCTATTTAAGGATCTCATCACAAAGGCCCATTGATTCACCATGCATTGAGGGAAATCCATGGGCTCCCAGTGGAAGACATGGAGAACCTGTCACATCACACAACTTACCTTTGCCTCCATCCCACAGGGGGAAACATCGCCACCCAGCTTCCCTCCATTGCTGGTAAGGCAACAAAAGAAGGCAACACAAGAAGGCATACTCCACTTGTTCTCCCCTTTCTGGATGGAGCCCAGCTAGAACTACACGTGAGTTGTGTAATTGGCTCCATCCTGAAAGGGGAGAACAAGTGGTAAATGACAGGCCAAGCAGGCTGTCTGATTAGTTATTAAGAAAGAATCATATCGTTATTAAACAAAATAGTAAAATTTGAGCAAGAAAAACAAAGCTAGCCTTCACCATTCCTAAATAATCTAACACTACATATCCTAATAAAAAAAATGGTATAACCTGGATCCTGTTTGCATTTAAAAATTCTCATTTTGGAAAACTAAACCATGTTCAATTCAGACCCCCCAAAAAATCTTTGCTTGGTATACCTTCTACATGTACTGTCAACCAAGACAAGCAAGAACTGTCATAGGTTTAGTTCCAATTGTACTCTTTAGTAGAAGCAACCCTAGATAATCCCTTTCACCAAAAAGATGTTTTAGACAATAGTGAATAGTTCAATGGGAGACAGGACCTCAAAACCTGATGTTTCATGCACAGAAGCTTCCTGCACAGCACTTGGATCTTATCCAAAATGTTAAATATCAGAATGTCAGTGCTCGGAAAATACTATAATTTCTCTACACAAATCACTTTCTATCCAAAAAGAGTGCTCCCATAGTTGTCACAGACATGACTTTTCCCACATGATTCTTCAGTTCCATTGATACTGGGATAATATTTTCTTCGTGTTAAGTTTTAAAGTCCAGTAGGGCTGCATGTATACTGTAAAATTAAAGCAGCTTGACACTATGTTGCCATGGCTCAATGCTATGGAATCATGAGGGCTGTAGTTTGGTGAGGCAACAGCATTATTTGATAGAGAAGGCTAAAACTACAATTTTGAATGCTTCCATAACATCAAGCCAAGTATCAAACTGCATTACCTTTACAGCATAGATGCATCTAGTTCCAGCTTCCTGCTCTTCACAAAATGGGTTTATCTGGATATGCTGCAGTTAGCTGTTGCTGATGACAGTACATGTACTTGATGAGTGAGTACATTCTATCTTTCCTGTAAAAAGTATCTGTTACCAATAGAAGAATTACAGACTATTTCTCAGGTTCCCAATAAAAGAAAGAAATACAAGGATAAAGCATATCTATAAAATATAAACTGTTACACAATGAATGAAAGCCAGTGTAGTAGAATGGTTTGAGTGCTGGATTAGAACTTTGGGTGACCAAAGTTCATATCCTTCCTCAACCATGGAAACTTACTGGGGAGGTCACACTCTCCCAGCCTGGACAAATCTTCTCAAGAAATTCAATGATAGAACTTATCATTAGGTTGCCATATATCACAATTGACTTGAAAGTATACAACAACATAATGAATACCCTTCATAGCTACCTACACAACTATACATACCATTAATCATTTTCTGTTAAGTAAAAAAAACTGAATGGTGTACAATACTTACAAAATCTAGATCATAACATAATGAATATCTCCCAAAACAGCATATACAACCCCCACATACCATTATCCGTTTTCTTGTATTTTGATTCAAAATAATTTACTATATGAACTAGTCCACCTTAGTATTTTAACAATCTGAAGTGTTTACTATGGAAACCCTATTAATAAGAGACCTCCAAAGCATCCTATCAGCATGTCTTTCATATTCAGGGAAGTATTTTTCTGGATTGAGTTTATCAATATAATCTTCCTCTTTTTCTACTACATTGTAATTTACCAAGCATTGTTGCATTTTCTTGTAGATCAAGTCTTCTCATGGTCAAAGTACAACAGTCAGTTTAATAAGCTTGGCTTCTTGGGAGAGTTTAGGCTTGATTCCTTTAGAACCCATTTATTTGTCTTTTCAGCAGTCCACGGATTCTGTAGAGCTCTTCTCTAGCACACATTCCATATGAGATGATTCTCTTCCTATTTGCATTCTTCACTACATAGCTTTCACAAATATACATAGAAAAGGGAAACATGACTGCATGGGCAATCCTTAGCATTCAGTGACAGATCTTTACACTTCAGGATCTTGTCTAGTTTCTTCATAGCTGACCTTCCAAGTCCTTGTCCTTTGATTTCTTGACTGCAGTTTACATTCCAATTAATGACTGAGCCAAGGTCTGGAAAATCTTGAATTATTCAATATCTTTATCATCCCCTTTAAAGTTATGTAACTCAACCATGGTCATTATGCAGTTTAGAAGTATGCATTCACACATTGGACAATGATTAAGGAAATCAAAGTGTGGTTCCTCCTTGATTATACTGGTGATTACTTTCCAAATTCTCACTTCATGCCACTAAATTTGTGATTCAATGGTTAGTATTCTTACACCTCCTAGCATCCTCATTATATATAAAGCATACTACCAGTCTTTGACTCATGAGCAATCTTTATTCTGTAATATAACATTTGCTAAAAGGTCCAATATCTGCCAAAATAGTCAAAGTTTCTTGTGCTAGTCATGTCACTCAGGGTCCTTCTACACAGCCCTATATCCCAGAATATCAAGAACTGGATTATCTGAGTCCACACTCTGATAATGTTGGATTTTCTGCCTTGACATTCTGGGATATAGGGCTGCGTGGAAGGCTCTCTATCTTATATTACAGGTTCAGCATTCCTTGCCCAATATTATTCCAAAGTTGTCCTTGTGACACCTTTACTTTCTGAACTTTAGTGTACACAAACTTTTTTTCACACACAAAAATATAATAAATATATATACATTTTTATAAAAAATATAAAATTATATTTGGGCTATACAGACTGTTCCTGAGACAACAGACAATAGAGACATCTGCCCCTAGGAAGAGAAAGTCACTCCTGAAAGAGTTATCATGAGGAAAAGGTGCTTCCACTGAAGCTTTATCCCCAATCCACAACAAGCCAAAATGTCCAAAGTCCAATTCTCATAGGGAGAGAAAGTGTGGTGAAATCTTCTGAACAGGGGCAAAACAAACACCACAGCAGTGTTAACCCTTCCCCATGCTATCCAGAGATAGACAGACAGACAGACAGACAGACAGACAGACAGACAGACAGACAGACAGATAGATAGATAGACAGACAGATAGAAAGATAGATGACTAGACTTACACTTTTCAAATATACCTGTTCCGACTTACATACAAATTCAACTTTAGAACAAACCTTTCTATAGGTATCTTGGGCTACAATCCTATCTATATTTATGAAGGAGTAACCCCCACTGAACTCATTGAGAAGACTGTGTATGATTGCATTGCTAATGTAAATGAAACATTGTTGTCCAAAACAGAAAGAAATAAACTCTTTCAAAGTAAGTAGTCAATGAATGACCTAATGGCAGACAAACTATTATTCCTTTTAAAAATTCCTATAGGTAATTTGTTTTACACCCACCCACCCTCCAAATCATGAAAAAATGAAAGTAGAAAAGAAAGAAAAGAAAGGGAATCTGGGCCACACGGGCTCATTTGAAAGTTCCAACAGATGCACAGCACATCTTACACTGTCAAGATGTATCTCCACCCCTCCTCTTTTTAGCTGGGAGTTAACTGAGTAAAAACTATTGAATTGTCAACTGCAACGTGACTGCTGAAGTGGAGAAAAAAGGGGGCAATCTGGAACTTCTTAAAGCAAACTCAGAAAATGGTAATGCAAAGGAGAAGGCACGGTTTCCTGGCTAGTTTGAGACTACTGGAAGCTATGTATGCACAGAATATTCCAAAGCATTCTATCAGTCATCTAAAACTCCATTCCTTCCCATAAAAAGTTAACCACTAAGTGTGAAGTGAACCATATTAGCCTCAAACAGATAGGTATCTATCAGCCACATCTTCCTGCAGTACATTTGAAAGGAATTATAGAATTTGAGGTTGGAACATAGCTATTGAGTTTTGGTACCCTTTAAAAAATGTGATGATATAAGTTTGGCCTGCAAAATGGAGCAAAACTCTACTTTGCTTTAGAATTGCTTTCCTGACATGCAAAAAAAATCCCTATAAAACAAAAAGACTTATTTAAGACTTCAGAGTGATGAAGCCATATAAGACTGTTCTATGTTTATAAAGTATTGGATGCTGGACTATTTTATTACATGTTTTTACTTCCCATTCAGTGAACAAGCAAGTTACACATTCTTTATGTTATAATTTCAAGTGAAGCATATAGGAACCAAGTACTGACAGCATCTCCCCAAACATGAAATATCCTAGAAGTAAGCTTTCATCTTATACTTTATTCTTTTTCTAAAATGTTACTTCTGTATAGCTGTGGTTCTAAAATACCTTTTAAATCCTACACTAGAGAAAACAAAAATACATCAAAAATATAAGAACTGTTGTTAAAAATCCCAAGCCAATATCTTAAAAAATCAATTTTACCTAATGAGATAAAACAGCTTGCATTGTATTTGGTGGTTTTTATAAATACAGCTTTGCAGCAAATTTTGTACCATTCCCACATAAGCTCTGCATTTGATTCATAATTGGATTATCTGCTAATATTTTTCTTGAAAACTATCCTTATAGCTTGCCCCTATGAATGCTTAACTGGAAGTCCTTCCTGTTTAACTTCCAGGAAGCATGCAGAGGATTGTGACTCACCAATTTACCATTTTGATTAGAGACAATTAGAGTCAAATACTTTTAATGTTTTGCAAAATCTTAAAATGCATGCTAACAGATGTGCAATCACAATAGCTACACAAACCTGCAGTGGTCTGTGTACTAGTATTTAACAACCAGTCTGCAGTGCTGAGCAGAGTCATGTCACCTAAAGGAGAATTGCAAAGAAAATAAAATGCTAGTAGCTTCTCACAGAAGGCTCAAGAACACAACAGACAAATTATATTTCCTTCAAAAATTATTATTAAACTACAATACCCAGATAGTAGTCTTAAACCAACTTATTTTGAATTGTTACAGTAAAATCAACTTAATTTCCTTGTATGTTTGTTTAGGAGAAAAGATAAGTTTCTGAATTTCAATTGGGCAAGTTGGTACATTTGGATTTTTCTTTAGAAAATGTAAGTTAATTCACATGACCAAATGTGTTTACATTTGTGTTTACATCTTTTAAAAAACCCAAAAGAAATCTCATAAACAAGTTTCTTTGCCTTTAGAGGGGCTTACTGTAAGATAAGTATGCATAGGGCTGCAACCACAGTCAGATAACTTTGTCTAAACAACACTAGTGCCCAATAATTGTTTCTGATTGAATATTAGCTTAATATAGGTAACTTAGAGAAACTAAAGGAAAATGTAGAGAAACTAGAACAGAATACCATAAATATCAAAATATAGAAATCTGTCTCTATTGTTTTTTAAAAATTATGGCTAAAAGTTTCAACCGTCTATTTTGAGATCCCATAATATATCCTGAGCAGTTAATTGAAGGTAACAGCAGTGATGTTTCAGAAGAAAACATCTATCATAAACATAAACATATATCATAAACATGTACATATTAGAAAGCATTGCACACTTAACAAGGTTTAGTGTGCAATGTTTTCTAATAAAACCAAGGTTAAATGATATTATATAAAATAGTTTTAAAATCAAATTGTGTTAATCTGTTCTACATTTTAACATTTATCAGTACACTGTCACATAGACTGTATATACTCTTCAGCTCAAAGTCTAGTGCTCAGTGAAGGTGCTTTTATAGAGTTTATTTTACCACAACATTGTGTATATATATTTCCCCTGCATTGTCAAATCTTAGCTTTCAAGACCTCCCATTACTAAACTACCTTTCTAAGAGATATAAATACAGTATTTGGAGAAAACAATACAATTGTCCGTATTTTAGTTCCATAAATCACAGTTCTATTACTGAAGCACAGCATAAAATAAGTAAGACTATGATTCTGAGCAAATTAAAGTTCTGTGCTTCTACAAATCATTGTGATCGGACTTCAGTTCCATGTTGCATTAAGGTTGCAATCTTCTCCATACGGTAGTTACTTCAAAGGAAGTAGCACTTACTTCAAGGCAGACAAATAGGATTGCATGACAAATGCAGAAATCTAGACACCAGCAAAATTTTAGCTAGAATATTTCATATTAAACAGATAGTACAGCCTGGTTTATTGTGGTGACACTCATGTATCAGAATAGTAGCATTTCAAAATTCCAGGAAAAGAAGTGTAACTGACAGAAAGTAGAGGCCTACCCTAACTTTTCAACCCTACTTTGTTTACATCCAGGAAATGATTCTGGCATGGATATACATTCCGCAATGTGAAAATCTTCCTTCAGTCTTAAATAGTATGGGCCTGGCATATCTTTACCACATCAATGAAAATGCTTTATGAAAAACCATGGGATGAATCTACATAAAATGAAAAAGAACTCACCTTCTGTGCCATTGGGTGTCATGGAATTATTATTTATATGAGAATTATCAAGTTTCGGACCATTAGGAGATTCACTACTACCACTTAGACGGCTATGAGGGCTGGCTAGATCCTGCATTTCCATAGACCTTTAAAAAAAGCAAATTTGATCTATTTATTCAATTCTGACTCTGGATGAACAAGCCATGCTGTTCCACCACTTCCCAATAGCATTGATTTTATTATTTCATATACATCATCACTTTCCTCATCTGCCTCATTTTTCTTTAACTATATTAAAAGACTTTAATAATGTGTGTGTGTGTGTGTGAGAGAGAGAGAGACTTACAAGTTGCCTGTCAACCTAAGCCAACTCCATGAAATTCACAGAGTTTTCTGAGACAAGGAATAGTCAGAAGTAGTTTTGAATTTCCCCTTTTCTGAAATATTTTATCAAATTTATTAATGTAATAAGATTACCATCAGGTAATCTTAGTACATTAACAAATTTTATAAAGTATGTTTCAGAAAAAAATAATCATTTAAAAATCCCAAGCCAATATAGTAACATTGTTTGATTGCATAATTTACCACCCAATTAGAATTTAATGGGCCTCCAAACCAAATAAAACACTTGAAGCAATAGTTGAACCTACAGTCTACTGACAAGGAATGAGATATTCCTGATGTATGTGTTTACTCTGGCAAACTACTTAATTGTTCCTCTGTAGCATTAAAACATTATTATGTCTGCTCTCATGTTTGCTTTGTGGATTACATAAAGTATGCCCAATTGAAAAGGGATAAGGCCAATATACAATGAATCCATACAGGCATTAGTCTGCCTTAGCACTTTGCAGTACTTGAACTGTCACTTAAAGAAAATGAAACAAGAACAACTGAGAATAAGTGCAAAGTTGTCAATATTTGATGGCACATAGCTCCCTCTGCTCTATCTTTTATCACTGCTTAGCCCAAATATAAAGATTCTTCCTCATAATAATCATTTCATAATATTCCACTTTGATTTGCTTGTCATAAACAGAATGTATGCATAGAAAAAACCAAAGGCAAAACTCAAATCACTTACTCTAGAATGAGAGGGGTTTTCACAGAAATAAATAGTTTATAGCACTTGATTCATTCATTTGGAATGAAGACTTGAGCCGAACTAAGCAAAACTTTTTTTAAATGCTAATGAATCTTGCTTTCCATATATTTTGATGATTTTATGGGTTTTAAAGTGATGTAGGAACTGAACTATGTCAACAAAGTTGTACATGTTTAATTCAGAGTAAATTCCACTAATTTCAGTGTAAATTGTTACAAAGTAAACATGGAGAGAGCTCCACTGCACATCTTGAAAAATTAAATATGTATTTTCACAGTGATATTGCTTGCCTGCATCAACTATGTACTTGGTATCAATGCTTGATCTTAAAATTTCTACTTGGAAATATCTATATTCCACATGTATCATATTACTATCATCCCTAAAAGGAGGGAATACATGAAAGTGTATAAATGGAGCATTAAAGATTTTCGTACTTAAGAGAACCACCTATATGTCAATCCTTTCAAAGTTTACATTGAAATTACTTCTTAAAGTACAACAAGACTATTCTCTATATCAAAATTAGCAACAACAAAAAAACACAACTCTTGCTCCTATGCCCCACCACACAAAGTTTTTATAAAAACATGTTTCTAAGAAACTCTTTGAACCGAAATGCCAGCTTGATCTTATCCTTACCTGCAAATGGATGAAGCAGCAACATCAGAACTGGTTTGGGGTTTTTGCACCTGCGAAGCAGGGACACAAATAGGAGCCTTCTGTTATTCTACATTCATGTCAGGTCTTAATCTAACTACACAAAGAAATCTTCCTGAGGATGGTAATGCTGTCTTTTAACCAAAAGAAAAGGAGGGGGGTACTCTTGCACTGAAAGACATATTGTCTTTAAATTGAAGCCTCAACTGTTGTTTCCTCCAGCAGGTCTATCCCCCTCCTGCCCATGTCATGTGGAAGGCAGCCAAATGACGGGATAGTGATTCATCACTCGCCTATATGACAGCTGCACAGTGGATTACCCCTCCTCCAGGCAACATGCAAAGCAGTCTTGCAAAGGTACGGTAGTTTAGGAAGAGGTGCCTGAGGAAGGCAGTTCTGAGCGCAGCAACCATCTCCAAGGAAAGAAGCTCTAACATTACTCCTCAGCATCCTCCGAAGATCTTTCAGCTTTTCTTATCACTGGCTGAAACACAGCTCCCTCCCACTCTTTAACTCTTGACACTCTCTTATCCTTATCACGCTTGTTTCCATCTTACTCCCACCCTATTCTGTCATGTAAGTTCAGCTTCCAGGCAATGTTAAAAGACAGCAAACCACTGCTAAAGGATTTAAAGTTAAGTGCTGTGATATAATTCTATAAGAGATGTTACTGTGTATCTAACTAGGCCAAATATCTGCCTTTCTCCAGTCTTCCTTTCCCCCTTCAATGTAAGTCACACTACTTTTATGCTTCATATCAACTGGGTATGGAAAAACAACTTTATAAGAATCTTCAAAATACTAAGCTTATACTTTAAAAATACACAAAATGAGCACTGTGGTCATGAGGAACTTTTTTTACATTCTCAATAAATGGTAAATTTATTGAGAATGTATAACTGTTCATAACCACAGTATCTGCACACTTCAAGGGGAATTTCCTGTCAGTTTTTTTTTATCTAAGCCCTTCCATGCTTGCATGATTTTGCTGCTTTCTCCTAGAAAATATGTTCAGTTGGATTGTTATTTAATGAATAGCCTTTGATACTAGAGTTCTCTCCAAAACCACTAACAACTGCCAGCAGGTGATAAAGCCCAGGTGAGGATGGCTGCTTGCTTGAAAGCAGAAACAAAACTTCCCCGGCTATGACACACATTGTCTAAATGTCTGAATTTGGAATTCCATCCAACCAGAACTGACCTCTCTTAGATGATCACAGAACAAAGACAAGCGAGATGAGGCATTCGAAGTGCCATAAAAGTCACCCAGGCAAGTCTCACTTATGTGTCTGTAGTTTTTTTTTGTTATTTTTAATCACAGACAGAATTACTACTTTAGCAGGAGTAGCCCACTCCTTATAAGCAGCCAGACGACATATAATGTTACACAGAATGGCAAAAAGCATGCACTAATACAGATAGAAAAACAGAAACTTTCTCCCCCTCTAACTGTATTTAAAATGCTGCAGAATGTTCTTTTTAATAGACCATACCAAGGCAAATCAAACTGGAATATCAAATGCATGTTTGTAAAACCTAGGCCTTATTTTTTTTAAGGAAGAGGAAAAAAGGGGCTCAAGTGTAAAATGGAAACTTTTTACTCTTAACCTCAGACACTGCAGGAGAATGCCTTTAGGATATATTCTCCCCTGCTACTCTGCTACACCTTGAGTAAATTATAGGTGGAAATAAAGCATACTTAAGAGCTCCATTTTAGAGGGCAATTTAAAAACAATAACATTTAATTAAATTACTAATAAGATGTATTTATGTTTACCATCACCTTTATTACCAGTTTATAGCAAGTAACAGAGTGTAATTTGTTAATGTCATGAATCAGTCAGATTTGTAAATGGATAACAAAATACAGCGCTACCTTCATCTTTAAAAAAAACTAATAGTAGTAGATATTTACATATATATGATCACATGCTGCTGCTTCTTGTATATCTTTTTAAAATATTCTATAAACTGTGGGTGCTCCTATCCCAATCCCTCACTTTCATTAGTCATACTTCAGTTACAGCCTTTTGCCTATTAAAGATTATTTAAACCATGTGTTGTGTGTTATGCCATTTAAAAATGATTCTTTAGTCAAAATATCTTTAAAACTACTAATCCTTTCTCAGACTGGTCAAGTGAATCCACAGAGTGGTACAGGAAAAATAAATCTATGCTCAAGAATGCAAATGCAGACAACAATTAGACACAGATGTCGGTGAAATTAGTTACAATTTGCAAAATGCTACACTACTCATGCTTTCAGATTAAGCCAGGATGCAAAATATTACAGCGCCGTGCATAACTGCATTTGCAATGCCTAGTTTATCAAACAACAACAACAAATGAATGGGTGGTGCTTCAGCATTACTACAACTACTGTACTTGTTACTACTTTATTATCTACAACTTTGATCCATTCAGTCTAATACAAACTTATTCAAAAGTATATGGCACTAAAAATACAGTTTTATGACTCTTTGGTCCATTTGACATGGTGGAAGGCTGCAGAAACAATTTGAATTGATCCAAAAACGGAAATTTGGAAATGGGAAATTGGATGACTATCAGACCAAAATATTTCAAAGGGAAACCTTTAAAGATCTTTCCCCTTTTTGCCACCATGCAATCACTTGTTGAATGGACAATCAAATGATGGACTTGAACACACATCACATATACAGCTCCTCAGCACTTAAGTGTCATGAAAAAATGGATTAAAAAAAACTACTACCATGTTAGGTAAGAAACACCAAAATGAGGATTAGTAAGAATATCAAATTTTGATTATTCATCAAATATTAAGTTTGCCTTTTCCTAATTAAATATATAATTTTTCACAGATGAAGGCTTTGTTGATATTCAATTTGTCTCTCTCGTTTTGTTAAACCTCACCTAGTACTTCACCAATCCACTGAATAGCCACATTAAATCTGTTAATACCATGCTCTTCAACCCCAGAAATTATTTCCAGAAGGCAAAGTCGCTTCGAGAGATCATCAAACAAGACTTAAGGTACACATTTTATCACATTTTGCCTACCACAGAGCTCAGATGGAGGCGAAAACGCATGGCCATTTGGAGTGTTTATTATACTTTGGTAAATTACAAATCAAAAGCATCTGACAGAAAACCATGTATAAAGTCAAGAAGTTAATAATGTTCTGTGAAAAGTAAACTGTAAATGGGAAAGGATTCGAATTCTCTAGAGCAAAGAACCTATCTACATTATTGGTTTTCTAGACTTCCCCCATTAAAATTGCTACAAATAAAACAAAATACTTCTAGTTGAAATAAACATTTAAAAGTAAATATATCTAATATGTGTGTTAAATTTTTTTAGCCACAGAAATTCTGCTAAAATCAAAAACCTTAAAGGAAATGGCAATTTTTTAATTTATTTGTCATTTTTTTACAGTCAGACTGTTTCAGTATAAATAAAGTTCGATTCTTTGATATAATTCAAAAATTTTGAAGGAAAAGACTGAAGAAAACCAAAACCCGTGATTTCTATGGACTACCAAATTCTGTTGCCTCCAATATATGCTCTACGTCTAAATACAGGACTATTTAAAAAGAACTTCAAAATTCATATTTAAAATTGTGTCAAATGTTATTAAAATGGATTTAATTAGTGCCAGATCTCCCTCTCTCACTTTCAAACACAACGTTGAATCATTTGCCTATGAAACAGTTTTGAAATATTTTGACTTGCAGCTGAAATGTAAAATAAAAGTCAAGTGACACTCTGGGGCCCATTCCACGCAAGATGAATAAAATCCCACATGATCTGCTTTGAACTGGGATACATGGCAGTGTGGACTCAGATATTCCAGCTCAAAGCAGAAATTGTGGGATTTTCTGCCTTGATATTCTGGGTTATATGGCTGTGTGGAAGGGCCCTGGGAGGAAGTTGCAATCACTAAAGTGAAACAATGCCTTATTTTCCGAATCTGTCACAATCTGGGGATTGAAGTTTCCTAAAGCGAAAAATAATCAATTAAGAAAAAAAATAACCTCACTCAATTTTATTAATTTTGTTTTGCACAAAGTCAGTGTTGTGTTCCTAGAAATTCAGTTTTCTTGACACTGCTAGGAGGGAAAAATCACTGAAGAATATTATAATTCGAATTTTGAAAAAGTATGCTTGAAACAAACAAAAAGAAAACACGCATGCCTATCCACTACACAATTCTTACAATCTATAAAATTATTTTGAGATTTGCCCTTTTGGCTTTTCTTTCATTGCAAGAGAAATGATACTGTTTAAAAAGTGACCCCGAGTGAGAACTTTCTCTCTCCGAAATGTGCATCAATGTGTGCTTGAGGACAATGTAACAATACAGTATTTACTAACTTCTGAGTCTAAGCTTTGAACAGTATTTACTAACTTCAGAGACTTCATTTATTGGACATTTACTGAACAATTTCAAGAAACGAAAAAACTAATGCTTTTTATAAGTATTAAAATTCATAAGTAACTAAATAATATATATATTTATTTCCATGATGTAAATAAAAGGCATCATGTTCCAGAATTCCAAGTGCTAAGTTCCCAGCAAACCTCACCTTACATAATATTGTCAGGCAGTTGTTTATCTTGCCATTTTGATAAGGCCCTCCTTTAAAGTTCAGCAGAGATTTCCTAGCATTTTAACATATTTAGCAGGATTTCCTGTTTCAGAATGACCTGTCAAAATCTTTGCCTTACCCCCTTCCTCTAAAGGTATTAGATGTTCTTTTTTATTCTGGTTTCTCTCAGCCATAGCCTTTAGAAATCCATAGAAAAAAAAACACACACAAACACTTATTGCGCTAATTGTTTTCCGTGAGCTGCCAAGGCTTCAGAAAATCAAACAAACACAAAGAAGTCAGTTTAAATTCGAGAAATGATGTATAAGACTGCAACATTGGGCCCTTCCACACAGCCATATAACCCAGAATATCAAGGCAGGAAAACCCACAATATCTGCTTTGAACTGGGTTATCCGAGTCCACACAGCCACATATTCCAGGTCAAAGCAGATAATGTGGGATTGTATTCAGCTGTGTGGAAGGAGCCATAGAGAACAACGAAACAACTCCCAAATTAACAGTAATAATAAGAATAATAGTTCTGGGGGTGAGAAACCTGTCCCTCAGACACCACTGTGGAATATTACTCAGCTCCCTGGAAAAGTACACAAACTTGTTTTGCAAACAGGCCCATTGATGTCAGTGTTTCGTCTTTAAATGTTTCAGTTAGGCCAAAACAGGGAAGAAAAGATACAAATACAGGCCTGGAGGGATTGCTGAATCTCTCCCTGTTTTGCAAGGCGGGTCAGCTGTTGTCACATCCATGCAGTTTCTTTTTTTGTTTAAGGCAGCCGGTTTGGTACTTACAGTGAAGGGCTTTGCGGCATCCACCCGGGTGGTGATGGACTCCACGTTTTCTCTGGCTTCAACCAAGCAACCAACCAACGTGGCTCACATAGTTGTTTTTTTTTTAATTCCTGAGTTTGCGTGGGATGGCGTGGGGGAGGGCACACAACTCTCTAATGTGGCCTGCTTTAAAAATAATAATGCGAAAAAGCAAAGAACCAAACCACAGGCAACGCTCTCACTGCCTGCCTTTCCCAGCAGCGCTCGCAGAAGCCCAGATGCGCAGAGCTGAGGCTGGAGGGCAAAATCCCCGCTTGGAGCAAAGGGTGCGCCAAGGGGGGGCGGGGGTGGCGGCGGGGGAGGGCAGTGGGGGCCTCAGGGACAGAGAGAGGGAGGGAGGGAGTCCGAGGGACTTCTGTGGACAAATGTGGGAGGGAAGAAGGGAGAGAAGGAAGGAAGGAAGGAAGGGGGAGTCCGAGGGGCTTCGGAGCCTGCCAAAGGTGCCTGTGCGCGTAAAAGCGGGGAGCCAGGGCGAGGGAGAGAGGAGAGGACTGGAGTCACGGGTGGACGGGGTCTTCAGGAAGACCTTGCCCCCGCCTGCCTCCCGGGGACCTTTCCTCTGGAAGCCTTGGGCTCAGAAGGGGCTCCACCTCCAGCGCCCCAGTCTCCAGGCTCACTTTGGGGGTCTCTTCCTCTCTCCCCTTTGCCCCCTTCAGCCAAGGCAGGCGGAGAGGTTATCGCGGGAGACCCGGCGGAGCAGACAAAGAAAGAGCCCAATCTTCATCCTCTCTCTCTCTCTCTCCCTCTCTCTCTCTCTGCCCAGTCTTGTAGGTTTGCCTCAATCTTGCCTCAAGGCTTTCTCCCTCTCTCTCTTTCCTTCCCCCCTCTCCCCCTCTCCCCCTCTTCCCGCCTTCTTCCCCCTTTTGTTTATTTGTAACGCAAGAGCCACCGCTCTTCCCTTCTGTCTCTTGGTTCTTCTCTCTCTCTCTCTCTCTCTCTCTTTCCCTCCCTCCTTCTCCCTGACCATCGCTCTCCTCTCAGCCCTTTCGAAAGCGAGGCCACCTTTGCTGCAAAGGAAAGCTCCCGCGGAATGCGGACAAACAGCTGCGGGGGAAGGATGCCGCCTGTCAAGAGGCGGAGAGGCAAGCGGGCGGGCTTTTGCCCTGGGCTTGCTTTCGTGTTTTGCTCTTTGCGCCGCTCCTTTGCCGCTCACTTTGGGGATAGTTTCGGGAGAGCCGAAGACGGGGAAGCGCAAGCCTTCCCTGCGCCAGCCGATCGGGCCGAGAGCAAGACTTCGGGAAGGGAAAAAGGAGAGGAGGCGCGTCGGCTCCTATTCGAGGGGAAAATCACCGCTACCCATTGCCCAAACCCTCCTCTCTTTCAAAAACCGGGCAAGAATCGCGTCTGAACTTGATTGGAAGCGTAACGGATTCTCCCCTCCCTCCCTACTCCTTCGACAGTGTAATAAAGACACAAAAATACGAATCGAGGGGGGAAAAACCCGCCAGCTCTGAAATATTTAACCTGCCCTAAACCCTGCCCTGTGCCAGCATCAAGCAATCTGACACAAGAACCACAAACCTTTCAACAGTTCATAATGTACAGATACAAATGGTGGTGGGCAAAATGAATCATTGGAGCGCACTTCGCCTTGGGTTCCCTTCTCTTTTGGGGAAAGTAATTCTATCTCGCCCTTATTCATCCTCCAGGCTCGCACTTGATGGTCTTTTCATTGCGCGCCCTCTCTCTGGGCTGCTTTCATTTATTTACTCTTGGTGGACACAGACTTGAGTGGGCTTGGGAAACAGACACACCAACATCTTAAGGAGACTTGGCTCATTATCTTTCCCAGGCATATTTTCATATCATTGTTGTCCTGAAATTCAAAGCAGCCAAACACAGCAGACCCAAACCAGGTTTTTTTACGTGTCAGGAGAGACTTGAGATCCCAAACCAGTGATTCTATTTTAACACACACTGGGACATTTCTACATTAACCTAGACCCTGAAAACCAAAGAGTATCTATCCCCAAGGGAAGCAAAATAGCACCAATATTGCTAGGACAAGTCCCAAAACCTTAGATCACTCTGGGTTTGAACTCAAACATTTGTACACACATTGAAACATTTTTCCGATATTGTTCCTACTTATCAAGGGTTGTCTTACCTTTAGTCAATGCATATTGTGAATCAAAGCCACTCGTATAAAGGCAAAATATCTTGCAGCTTCAATAATATCCAACTGGCACATTATAGTGAGAAATAAAACCCTAGAAGGAAGTTGTTCAATCTTGAATGGATGCACCTAGGACTCTTCTTAGCAGGCGAAAAGGAATGGAAGGGGATTGACACATACCATATATGGAAGGTTAAGGTCAAAACCCACATATTTCTATTGGATCTGTCCAGCCAGCCAGTATAAACAGAGGTATTTGCCTTCTTTCTATTTCTCAAACACCACGCTCAAGGTGCATTTATAAGGCTTCATTATACAGCACTAGAAATAACATTATTTACAATATCTTAACGATATATTAGGCAAGATGGTGCTAAAATAAACTGATTCTGCCTAAAAGAGGAATTGCTTTGGTGTGGATTTTTATATATATATATATATATATATATATATATATATATATATATATATATATATATGAAATTTGTTAAAAGAATCTGCCATAGATATTTATCAAGATAGGTTTTTAAAAACAACAACACAATTTCCTCACAAACTCTATAATGACAGATATACAGTTATAAGTATGTGTATATACTTGGATCACAACCTAAGTATACACTTAGTTATACAGTTATATAGTACAGTAGAGTCTCACTTATCCAACATAAATGGAGTGGCAGAATGATGTATAAGCGAAAATGTTGGATCATAAGGATCATTAAGGAAAAGCCTATTAAGTGTCAAATCATGTTATGATTTTACAAATTAAGCACCAAAACAATTTTTTAAAAAAACAGATTGACAGAAAAAGCAATTCAATACACTGTGAAGTTATGTAGTAATTATTGTATTTATGAATTTAGCACCAGAACACTGCAAGGTATTGAAACAGCTGTGGATCCGGGTGGGAGGCAGACTGCATTGGATAATACAGAATGTTGGATGAGCAAAGGTTGGATAAGCGAGACTCTACTGTATATGTATATACTTGGATCAAAACCTAATAACAGTTATATACTATATACTTAGTTATACAGTTATATAGTATATGTAACTTAGTTTCTTCTCCCAAAAGATACATGTGGATAATAAAATTTATAGAAAGGCAAGACAATAAGGCAACACTGTAAATATTCTGCATTTCTGCAATGAAAATACAATTTTGCCAGGAAAAATAGCATTTTATTAATTAAACACCGAAGTCCCTACTATGTATACTAAATTCATTTCTTTTCTGATATTCTGTGCACAACTCGTTTGTGATCGATCAGATAAATCTGCACACAAAAAAATCAAATACTTACAAATATCTGTATATAATTATAGTGAGCAAACAGGTAAGTAGTTAAGTTTGTACACAAGACAGATGTGCATGAGTCAGAAAAACGTGAGTACCTTAGATTTGCAAGAAATCCGTATGTGAATATTTTCACAATCCTTTCTTATTAAAGGATTTACCAATGAGAATCGTAAAGGATATGTGTTATTAATATAATCTGTGCAATGTTAAACTCCTGATCTATTTATTTGTAATTATTTGGCAAAATGTCAGTAGCTACTGAAATATGTTTTCCAGTGCAAACATAACTGTTTTGATGCAGTTATTTCCAATTGATGAATTAGACACACTATTAACTGGGGAGTGGGTGGAGTTTCAGGTATCGGATCCTTATGAATCTGCTTTTTCTTTCTTCAGCTGTGGCTCACCTTTCTCAAAACTGTATCTAATTTGATTGTTCAGTTCATTCTTCAGAAGGAGTGTTAAAAATAGCAATACTTAATGCATTTCATTCTTTGTCACTGAATGGTCAATCAATGTACCCCAATTCATAGTTCCTGCTCATAACTATTTGGTAGTAACTTCCATTGAAATTAATGAGACATAGTTCAGACACACATACACACATTGTATCAAGGTGACAGACAGTGAGTCCCAGTATTATTAGGTTGTGATCCAAAATGCATCTTCTTCAACAAATTTTCTCCTCATTAAAACTTATGTAATTGATATCCATGCATATACATTCAGTTTGGTATGTAATTATAGAGAAGGCTACTAAAATCCCAGTGGGTTACTATTCTATGTTGTTTTATTTTTAAATCAACAATCTTGCAGTAAAATCCCTCACAGCACATTTTTTCATTAATTAAAAAAATATTATTAATGCATTCAAACTTTTCCTGAGCATTTGGCAGTACTTCAATACCTAGTGAGCACACATTTATTGCCACTCCATGCCACATCTGAAATAAAAATGTAAGTCTTGTGTCATGTTTGTTTACATCCAAGGTTGTATAGTTGATTGGTTTTAATCTACTGCTATAAACTATTTTAGTTATGTAATGCATTTTATACTGTGGGGCATTGAATTTTGCTATTTACTCTGTTGTGAACCACTTTTAGTGCCCCTAGGGGTTGAGAAGAACAGTATATTAAATAAATAAATAAATAAATAAATAAATAAATAAGGGTGCCCCTCCCGGGATACCATTATGTGAAACACACCCCAATAAAATATTTAGTTTTCATGCAGATATAATTAAAACTAAAGATTTTACTTGACTCCTACAAAACTTCAGTAAGATTTCTAACTCAGCTCTTTAGGAGGGAGGGAAGGAGTGCTGCAACAGGCACCACAACAAAGAAGGCACTGTCTAACATCCTTGCCAGACAGCTGGAATATAGATCTGGGCACTACCAGCAGATCTTGTGCAATAAGAGAACAAGTCCATTATTTTGCATCCTGAATCTTTTACAAAACTTAATATTCTTCATAACTAATATTTTTGGATTAAATCAGTTAGGTAAAGGTAAAGGTAGTCCCCTGACATTAAGTCCAGTCATGTCTGACTCTGGGATGTGGTGCTCATCTCCATTTCTAAGCTGAAGAGCCAGCGTTGTCCATAGACACCTCCAAGGTCATGTGGCCAGCATGACTTACCTAAATTGGGCCCGTATAAAGGGGGAAATTAAATCAAAAGCTTTTTATTTCAGTAGTCCTATCCTAAAAAGTATTGTGGCAAATGTAGTGCTTTAAGTAGTAGGTTACTCCACAAATAGCCCTTATTTGACACAGTTAGGTAACAATCACAACGTTGTGGTTGTTGTAATTGAATTGTTGTTGTATGCTTTCAGATTGCTTCTGACTGACAGCTCATGTGGTTTCCTTGGCAAGATTTGTTCAGATGGAATTTGCCTTTTCTTTCCTGTGAGGCTGACAGAGGATGACTTGCCCAAGGTTGTCCAGTGGGTTTCCACGGCAGAGCAGGGATTTAAACCATAGTCTCCAGAGTTGTAGTCTAACTCTCAAACCACTACACCACTCTGTCTCACATGCATCCAACCTCATAAGGAGCCATGTTGGTGCAATGGGTTAAACCCTTGTGCTGGCTGAACTGCTAACCTGAAGACCTAAAGGTTGGTGGTTCCAATCTGCCAGACGGGGTGAGCTCCTGTCTGTCAGCCTCAGCTTTCCATGTGGGGGCATGAGAGAAGTCTCCCACAGATTGGTAAGACATCCAGGCATCCCCTGGGCAACATCCTTGCAGACGGCATATTCTCTCACACTCGAAGCAACTTGCAGTATACTCTCAAGTCACTTCTGACACAATTTAAAAAATCCAACCTCATATTGCATATTTACCATTTATGTGGAAGCAATAATAAATCAATATATTTTTTAATTTTCCAAGGTTTTATCTGA